CAGCGCGCTCCCGCCGCGGCCCCGCGCTTACACCCCTGTGCCGAGCAGCGCAGGGACAGTAGCAAACCTGACACTCAGTTCAACGCCTACAGCTCTCATCTTTTCCAGGAAAATGCATCGAGTAAGAATACTTCCTTCCCAAGTACAGCATAGTTTGCTTCCTGATCTAGTCTGGTGATAGAGAGGAGAACATGAATAGGTTATGTACATGGCCAAAGCACAGATGCAAAAGGTGTTCAGCATAAAAAAAGCCACTGCGTTTTGAATTTAAGTTCTTCAAGCCATCACTCCTTACAGTCCACAAACTGCACGTTTGCTCTACACACACAGAGAGGGCTATCGACCTCAAACTTAAACTTCTAACGCAAGATTTGCAACAAGCTTTTGAAAAGATTTGCATGATCATTACAAGTAACGCAGTACTCCTAGGGAAAACAGGAGTCCTGTTTGACTCTGGTTTGCATCCTGTTTGAATCGCAAGAATGAAATATTGTCCGTCCGTCCATCCATCCATCCGTGTCGGAAGTCTCAGCTCTAGAGTGACGATGGTAACTTCTATCTGATAAGCTAAAATAGAAAATAACTTTTTACAGTAATCCCGTTTCAGACGCTTAACTCACTTCAGGCTGATTTTAAGGCTGGGTTGGGGCAGGTGGGAGTTAATCTCTTGATTCCATATTACAGTGTGGACAACAAAAAAGGTAACCCCAGTTCCACTGGGTTACTCACTGGTGTTGCTGTGTGAACTGAATTAGGCTTCTGAGATGAACGCTATCCCAGTACAGCTTGTGTACAAGCGCACACAAGACTTGCAGGGTACTTTTACAATTAAGAAGGCAAACAGTATTTCTGGGCTTTGATTTTTAAAAACATTCTCTTTAAAAATTGAGCTAATGAACCAAATACAAACTGACATCTCACTGAGGACAATGAGCACATCACTGTGTAGGTGAACTTACAGCATTTTCTGCTGATTGTTGTAAGTATCCAAGGCTGATGTACAACTGAATATTTTACGTTGCATGTAGCTCTTCCTCAAATTATAAACAATGTTTGCCCTGAAGGTAGCTGGGTAGAGGAAATGTGAGAAACCTGGAAAACCATTTCAAATCCTTTTATCCCCTGTGTTTTACTAGCGGCCTGAAACACATTTCAAGTGCATCTGAATCAGTAGCTGCAGGCATGAACCCCAAGGTAAAGATTCCAGTTTCATAATGAGGTTCCAGAAATGGGCAGCTTCCTGTGCTGGCTGTTCTTTGTAGAGGATGCACAGACTGCTTTCAAAAGCTGCAATTTTAAGCTACAGTTACCATCTTATCTATTGCAAATACATGCTACTTTTTTGCTTCAGGAGGAAGAGATGAAAAACATGGTATGTCTTAAAGCAAGATACACTCCATACATAACTCCACAATGCACCTGGAAGGAAAAGCACCCGGCTGGGTCGGGGCCTGGTGCTAGTAAGCTCTGAAGCAAAATTGCAGCAGTCACAGAATTTTAAAGCAGAAACACATGAGAGAGACAAGTTTTTTACATTGTGTGTTGCTCCCTTCTGTTCTTTCTCCCCTACAGTCATGGAGACTAGGATACTTGCTACTGTCTGCTTTATCCTGTAAATGTCTTGTTCCTCCCTTGCCCAGCACTGCGTATCAGACCAGCTGGGAATCAGAGCCTTACCAGAGTATGCTACCATAAACTCCAAAAAAGGGAGACATCCCTTCTCCTTCCATTTAAATCAAGTGTAGTATTTCTACATTCTTGCATGTCATGGGATTGTTTTGTTATATTCCCCCTATTCTATACTATTCCTTTAGCATACACTGATAAAAATCGATATCACTTCAAAACCCTCCCTGGGAGGCCACATCTGGATTTTCCTATGTTGGTGAGCTCCTGGAATGTAAAGGCTGCTGTCCCCCAATGAATGGAGCTTGAAAGTGAGACAGGCTAGCTGCTTGCATTTCATTCAGCTTCAAATATAAAAACAGGCTGTAGCGAGACTGAAAAGCAGAGTAGATTTTCCAGTTCTTTGCCTATCTTTGAATTGCTAATGGTTTAAGAGCCAGTGAGATTTTTGTCTTTCTTTAGAATGTGCAAAACAAGTACTAAAACAGTACTAAACTTTGAACCTGTATTTTCTTCTGTACATTTTCTCCTATACTTTTAATTTTCTAGCCTACCTTGACCTTTCTCTCTTCTGTCCTTTTATTGCCCTACTCTGCAGCTGATGGAGCAGAAATCAACTCTGCCTCATTACACAGTGACCTAGAAAGCCAATAGCTTGCATCAGCATATCGGTACCACCTGCGCATCTGCCTAAAATAGATTAATGAATTTATTAAAATTTTGAGGGATTGTTTTTCTTCCGCTATTGCATCCTTTATTTTTCGTTGTAGGTCAGTGCATAAATATTCTTTTTTTCATAAATAAAGTTACTTTAAGTCCAAACACAATCCATATAACTGAATGCAGCTGAAATGTTTAACTGGGAGTATAGATCATAGTGCAAGAGGGCACATATGGAGAAAAAAAGACACATCTGATTTTGGGAGACAAGCAAGGACTCTTGGTTGGTTTAATGTGCTACCTGGCTTTTTCAGATTCACCACAGCTGGTGCCAAAGAGAGCAGGGGCAGTAGATCTGTAGGGCCAAATCTCTCATACCCAGCTACTGAATCCATTTCTGTGATCCGGAGCAGTCCTCTTCCTATTGTCAATGAAGTTATGGTTAAAATTCCATAGCTATATACAACTTCTATGTAAAAAAACATTCTATGCTTCAAGAAGGAAATAGTCACACCTGAATGTTCAGATCTCTCCTGGAAACATGTTACGAGGCAGTGCTTACAGAACACACACAGCAGCACCACGTACCTGCTTCTCGGCCTTATCCTAATTTACACTGTGTATCCACTGTCATGTTTGGTCTCTTGTCACTGTGCCTTTTGTAACACAGAACCGAGTCCTGAAGGCTCAGAATTCCTGTTAATCCTCATCAGTGGCACAGAGTTTAGAGCCAGAGGCCAGAGCCTCTCCTGAATTTTGATAAGAGGACAGTAAGAGGATGTTATGGGAAGATGGAAGAATTTTGGTGGGGAGGGAAAGGACCATGTTGATGAAAGGACAATTAGAATCAGCCTACTATATTAAAGAATTAGCTAAGTAATACTCAAAGATGCTTATAATCCAAATGTACTCCAAACATTTGTTCCTTTTTGAAGAAAAGAGATAAATTAAAGCAATTGTGTTGCTTAATAATCATAGCTCAAATATAAGTTGCAAACTATTTTGTAAAGCTTTGCTTTTCTGTGCAGTAAGTAGTCATTGCTAAAGAGCTAATTAGAAAGGGCAATTTTGAGAGAGGAACACTGTTGTTCAGCTGTCAATTTTCTTAACAAAACCAGTAATGCATAAAAAATAGTAAGCTCACAAGCATAACTCTCCTTCAGTAACTCTACCATACTTCTGAACTGGTGGAGCTGTCAGTCTGTGACCACTGATGCACTCATACTAAGTTATGAGGAACTTTTTGCAACAGCCCAAATTAAAAAAAAAAAGTCACTATTACAATTCTGCTGGGGTGTGTATTGTTTTGTGCATCTCTATGCGCACAGAGCTGATCCTCATCGGCGAGTGGTAGCTGAGCTGGATTAGGTGCCAAAAGGAGTTGAACCGTTTACTAGCTTAACCAGGCATGCTAGGCTATGACTTCTGCATGCTAACACAGCTCGCCTGCCTCCCAGACCTGAGCTTGCTCAACCTGCATAGTGCTGTGTTGCACCATAAAGGCCAAGCTTCAGGATATAGTTTCTAACCTAATTTACTGGGGTAAAATAATTAAGAATTTCTTCCTGCCCTGCCCAGTACCACAGCTGCCTGTTAACAAACTTGTGCCGATACACCTGTCTCCTGGAGCTGTGCACGAAAAAATGCAAGCTAAAAATTCCTTAGGGAGGGCTGGTATTTGAGGATTATTTGCAAGCAGGGCATGTTAGTGTTTCTCTTTCACCCCACTCCTTTTACCAATCCATATGAAGAACTGAAGAAGCGGTGAACTGCAGTGTTGCCTTGGATCTATTTTACACCAGTTTTGCTACCTAGCTTGGCTGTCTGGGACCGTAGCAGAACTCTCTCAATAGTTCCTTTCGCTTCAAGTTGAAGCAAGCTAGTAACAGTTTCCTGAATGCGGTGGGGAAGGGGAACTAGGCATTCCCAATGTATTCTGAAAAATTCAAGGAGGTCCTAGCACAGAGGTTAATCTCCAAGATGCTTCAAACAGGAGGCAGCAAGCTAATCTTCATAATCAGAAGTGTGCTGCTGTATGTTTACTGCAGGCGGTGAGCAAACCACTTCCAAAGGCAATGAGACAAGAGCTGCTGCAGCAGCTTCAACAGCACTGTAAAGCCTAAACCTTTGCCTTAAACCACAGGTTCAGTTTTACTGAAAACTCCATTTTGCTTAAGTCCCTACTAGGGGAAATGAAGTTGTGTTACGTGTGCACTACTCCAAGCAACAGTACTGAGGATCACTTGCAGCAATAGTGTGACTCAACACCAGATTTGTTATTTTGAAAGGGCAAGAGTACATTTTAGTCATCTTAGCAATCCCACTTGGCTTCTAGACAGGCAGCTAGTTACAGAAAGCTCTGTAGTGGAGATATGTTAGCTGAGCAGACTCATCTGAGCTGGCTGTATGCTACAGCCCAAGTCTAAGTATAAACTAAAGCCAGCAAACTCTGTTGACCCTCTCTGTCTAACAACATCAAGGCAAAAACTCAGCTGTTCCAGTTCTACCTGAAATGGGAAACCAAAAGAGAAAATGAAATGCTGTAAATGACTGACTTCCCCATATGAACACTGGAATGTTTAATGCTTTCCTTACCAAATCACATAGCAGTAATGTTAGTATTTTAAAGTCCATAACCACACAGAAATCAGTGTCATTCCTGTTGATTCCATTTCTTAAGATTTTTCCCCTCTTTTTTTCTAGACTGTTCTTCAGGGGATTATTTTGCTACCCCTCCGTGCCATATGCATTGCATTCATATTACTGCTAGCATGGCTGTTTGCATCGATTGCAACTTTCCGTCACCATGGAAAAGGATCTGTGCCGCTTAAAGGATGGAGAAGGTAACAAGTAAACAGTATTTGTGAAAACACTGTGGTCTGGGGGTTTTTTTTGTAACACAGAGACAGACTCTGAAGATTTCCCCCCGCCCCCCACTCCTTTCCTCCTTTTGGTGAGAGGAGTCCCAGTGAAATCTTAGTGTTACCCATTTAGGTGAAGCAACTTTATGTTGAGTGTGTTTTACAACAATAGTGGAGCTTTTTTAATAGGTTGATTTTCAATTGTCCTGAGTCTAAAACAAATCTGTATAAAAATCCTTATAGACAATTTGTAAGCCAGGACTTACTTTAGTAATAATATTTGAGAAAAGAAACTCATTAAGAAAAGTATTTGGTAATATTATTTAGCCTGAGTTTCTGTGTAGCCTCTGTCATTCCAGCTATGATATAATTTATGACAAAATTAGCTTTGACAGCACCTCTCTTAGCTATGTTGCCCTTGAAGGAGTATTTTACAGCTGTCTCTGTGGGTTCTGGGTTTCAGCCGCTCCGCTTCTGACCTCAGAGTAATGAAGTTCCCTTCTAGTTGCGATGCACTGCAGCTGCACGCAGGAGGAGGAGACACAGGAAGTGAATTCTAACAAGGCTGAGAGATTCCCATGACGGGAACCTGTCCCAGTAAGGGAACATTGTCATTTAATCTTACTTGTTTAAAACTGATAGTAAGAGAACAGTATCAGAGTTACTTAAGTTCTTACAAAAGGGACACTAAATCTGCTGATTACCCATCCTCCCCTTGCCATAGTGTTATGTTACAATGCTATAAGAGATGGCAAGAGAAAGAGCATACCTGGGAGGGTGGTTTAGTAGGGTGCTGTACATTGCCTTATCTCTAAAATTACAATCTGGTTTCAACATGAAAAGGTGACATTCCCTTCCCTACTTCTACTTCTTCCCCTTTAGCCCTACACTCTCCCAGTGAGTAGTATTGCTACACTGTGCCTGGCCCCAGTGCTGGTGAGAACTAGGAAATCTTTCATGAGCTTTTGTTTAAAGTACAAAAGAAATACTAACTGTAAGATGAATGATATTTTTGTGTTTCTGTTTACAAGGAGGATGATCCAGACAACCCTCTCATGCCTAACTCGTACCTTGTTCTTCGTAATGGGTTTCCAAGTTAAAGTAAAAGGGAAAATAGCAAGTCTACTGGAAGCCCCGATCTTTGTTGCAGCTCCTCATTCAAGCTTTTTTGATGCCATTATTTCTGCCCTAACTGGAATGCCATCAATAGTGTCTAGAGCAGAGAACCTGTCAACTCCGGTTTTTGGCAGTAAGTATTTATGAAAAACAAAAATGTTAGAAGTCAGCAATTTGACACAAGGCCAAAAATGTAATCTCTGAAAGTGATTTAGCAGCAGACTTTTTTAAATCCTTAGGTTCCAAAGCCACTGACAGATTATTTCCAGTGAAATCCCTGGGACAAGTTATCTTTCTGAATTGGACAAAATGTCTACAAGTAGCCTGTTTCTTTTCAGATATGAAATATAATACCACTTTACATTTGCTTTGTACTGAAAGCATGTTTTGTAAGTGCTTAGGCTAGAGGCTTTCTCTTAAAATTTTCCCAGTAGGTAGCTTGAGAAATCTGTTCAACTGATGTCTTTTAACAGCGTGGCCCACAAATGTAGAACACGGATTAGTGAAGGTTACTTCAAAACAGACCCAAACTACAGCAGTCTGGAAAATACCATATTCATAAGTTTAGACTTGCAGGCACAGTTACGAATTTTTTTTAATGGGACTCAAATCAGGAAAGAATAAAAGAGAAGTTACTCAGAAAGGAAATGCAGAAAATGGAAAAGATCAGATGACTCACGCTTCTATTATTTTCTCCACCTTTTGGCACAGAAAGAATTCCTGTTTGCATTATTACTAGAATCAGCTGTAGACTTTCTGCTGGCTGTATATCTCTTATCTCTATAGGACTCTTAAAAGAATAAGCCAACACTAACCCAAAACTAAACTCAGCAGGCAACACAGAAAAGTGTCTTTGTATGAAATAAACTAACTGATAATATATTGACCTTCTCTTAAAAGCACAGGAGTGGGACATAGAAGGTACTTCTTCCCCAAGTTTCTCATCATATCTCAATAAGTCCACACATTCTCATGTAGACTTCTGCTTAAATGAGTTTGGCTTTTCTTTTTTCTGTAATTTACACACAAGCTGTGTATGCTTTGTAACTGAAAAGGGACATCTTACTTCTTCAGCATAGGCTCAAACTACTTGTTGATTGCAGTCTACATGAGTTAGGCCTGAGTGTGGCTCATGATCAGAGACCCGATCAGGTCTTTTGCTTAAAATTGTGTAGAAATGCTCAGTGAAAGATAACAGCAATATTAGAAGAATGTGTTTGGGTGAATTTGGCATGTTTATACCTACTGTAAAGCTCCTCTGCTGGCAGTGTAGATCTATCTTCTGTGTCTTATTTTCCATTTTGCAGAATGAGGACAATAATACTACTCTTCTTATCTGAAAACTGTTTATGCAAAGTCTGTCTCCTAGCATGAGAATAACAAGGTTTTTTTGCTACAAGGGAGCCTTGAACCCATGTGTTTTCTAAGCACTAGCATAAGACAAATAAAATTTTTTATCTCTTTCACAGCAATTTTAAGTTCCCTTCAGCCTGTATCAGTTTCTCGTCAAGACCCCGATTCACGAAAGAATACGGTCACGGAGATAACTAAGCGGGCATTATCAAGAGGCGAGTGGCCACAGGTAATAAATACACTACTACTACTATTCTGTCATGTATTCGTATTCCATATTCACTGTGCATCATAGTATCACAAGTGCCCACCTGAATAGGATTCTGTCGATGTACAAAGATGAAGTAAGCCCTCGTGTATGTGACTGGTTTCGGAAAGGAAGATGCTGGTGCCCAAAATGTTTTGTCATGACAAATGGATCAGTTAAAATCCAGCCAGTACCAATTGCTGTTCCAAATACAGGTGCTCCTGGCCTTCTCTTTTCCCTATTTAAGTCTTAAACATGCTGTCTTCAGTGTCACATACAACTTGGGTAGTTACATGTGAATCGGTATTCTCAAGCTAGCTCGTGTGTGAGAAGCTATTGCAGAGCTGTGCTCATAACAGTTTGGGGATGAGCAATTGATGACATGAGTAAACCGGACTGTCCAGGCTCTGGCATAGCATTGACTGTGGTCTGATGTTGCCTTCAGATGCTACAAATACAGTATCATTGCCACACTGCTGGACAAATCCAGTCAGTGATGCACAACCTTTCATCAAAGACATCCTGTATGGATTTATGTATAAATCTGTGCTTTGTGTTTTAATTTAGTTCTTAACTTGTTGTCTTAAGGGTTAATTTGCTTTAAAAAAAATTAAAAACTCAAAGAAGTGGACTGGTTAAGTAGATAAAGTCACAAAATCTGTTTAGTCATAGTTGGCTACCTCCTAAATGATTGAGACAAGTTAACTTTTCCTTCACTTTTGTTCCAGTGAATGGCTCTTGAGGAAAATTAAAAGAGACTAGTGCAAAGATAAGACTTGGTAGCAGGTAACTCTGTGGCAGCTAGACCTGAACACGCTGCTCTGTGAATAGTATCTAGAAACTGAGAATATTCAAGTGTAAATGCTTGTCATCCTGAGGGAAGACCAAAACTTGCCACTTTTTTTGAAATAGCATTATTTAGACATTTCTTCATGCATCATTTTTACTTGGCAAGCACCTTACAAAAAACTTCTTAGTTAGTGTTTAGGCTACTTCAACTTGACTCATAAATGCATTTTTCTAAGCTGCTGCAAATATTTTTAGAGCCTCCATTGTTGTTTTTTTCACTTTGTCAATTATATGGAGGGTTTTAAATATGCACATGCCAAAGCTAGGAAGGCTTTTTTTTAATACTGCGCTTACAAACTACACTGATACTTATGATTTGCTAAACTGTTATGGATTAATTGATTCCAGCAAAACCCTGGTAGGCCTAATCTCTGCTGAAAGCAGCGTGGGGAGACAAGGGGAATTGGCTTTATGCCAGTTCTGCACTTGGAATGAAAATCAATTCTATATTATGGCATAAATAGTCTCTGAGTCAACTAATCTGGTAATCTCCAAGACCGAGTCAGCAATACTACTTGGAGTATCACTGGGTAATTCCTAGTCCTTGTGCCCTGGCCACACCTTCGTTTTTTTGGGGTGTGTGTTTTTTTTGGGTTTTTTTTTGTTTTTTAATGAGAAACTTGACCGCAAGATGATGTCTGTCATATCCTCTTCAGAGTGCCTGGGCTGCATTCTCTCAGCACAACAGAAAAGAAGGAGTAGCTGGATTCCCCATTCCCTCCACCTAAAACCAAAACGCAACAGGCTGGGCAGCACTTGTCCTTATTAATAGTATGAGGTTCTGATTACTGCTTCTTCCAACCCTCCACCAAAACAAAAGGGAAGGAGGGAACAATTACTTACTCTTTGGTCAGTCACTAATATGTTTTCTGGGGCTTATGACATATGCTAAGCAGAAACATACCCATTTTTGTGTCCGTAGCACCAGCAAACAATTTCTGATTACAGAATGCGTAGTCGAAGACTAACTGTAAATCGGTATGTGCAGCTGTCTCTATTGTACCTTAGAACAGCCCATGTCTCTTGCGTATGACCTAATGATGCCCTCTTCAATCTAGCCTTGACAAGTTCATTCGGACTGACGTGGGAGCACACCTTGAACTCACTTTTGATCCAGACCAGTTCTTGTGCTGAGGTTCTTTTGGAATGCTGCTTATGATCCTGTAGTGATACAAGAAACATAAAGCTTCCTTGTGTTCCATAGGGGCTGGATTTGGTGTGTCACATTGCAGCTCACTGCACATCTAATCTAGCATCTTTCAGACAACACTGACTCAGAAACCTTCTGGGTAGTTGGTGTGTCTGAGTCATTCAGGTTCAGAGGCTGTGTAGTGGTGTGTAATGCCTTCAGAGCCCTGCATCACAGATGCACATGCTCTCTCTGCCTTTTTTTGCTACCCCTCAAGCTGTGATCTTCTCATCACAGCTGGCATCTTGACTCACGTTGATGGCATCTGTGCCTGTAAAGGCTCCGGTACCTTACGCACTTCATGTCAGTCCAGACTCTTGATGCTTATACACCCAGCAGTTCAATAAAGAGCTGCCAGCAAAGGAACGATTCTCATATCATTACCAACACTAAACGTTTCAAGTGAAACACTGAGAGCCTTTTGTACCATATTTCTGAGCAGATAAAGGCCTTTCCCCAGAACTCCTCTCTTACAAAGCATTTGTTTCCAAATCTAGATGGATCAGGTTAACAGGTTAATGTTATTGTGAGCATCCTTCACTTATTTCCTCATTTCCTCTTGAAAGAGTAATGATATTCTTGTGATGCAGGGTAACGCGTCACAGAGCTTGCATAAAAAGTCAGCCTTTATGTAACTGATGCCAAAGTATGATCTTTTTATGAAATATGTGTGTATATATCTATTTCTTTCTCTTTAAATCCAAGATACTGATTTTCCCAGAAGGCACCTGCACAAACCGATCTTGCCTGATCACGTTTAAACAAGGTGAGAGATTTTGTTGCATCATTGCTGGAAAAGTAACATGTGAAATACTGATTTGGTAGTTCTAGTAAGGCCTATACTTCTGCAGGTACATCATCCACGACAGCACTGTAGTAATGTCTTACATCATTAAAGTTTCAGCGGCATTAAACCCACCATTTTTATACTAGTCAGTTTATTTTTCTGATTTTTGGTACTTTGTGGGATGCAAAATACCTATGATATATTATGGTTAGTTGGTTGGGGTTTTTTCTGGGTACAGTTTTCATCTAATTACTTACGCAGAAACTCGACTGTGATTATTATGAGATGAATTACCAAAATACATGCTAATTAGCATGTTCTTTCAGCTCAACTTGTAGTCGTGCCATCTTAGATTCCTGTAAATTTTGTCATGCAAGACTTAGCAACCAAGTTATGAAATCTCTTTGTGTAGTGCTTAGCAAGGCAGGCCAATAGATTATTTTTACCACAGGAAGGTACTTGATAGCATCACTGATGATGAGATTGCTGTGCTGCACCTCAGTTAAAGCCATGTTGCTCTCCTTTCTTACTGTTGTACAGTGTCTTCGGTAGCAAAGTTACAAAACCAGTACTATATGCTCAGGTCCGTATGACTTATGAAGATGATCAGAACAGAGAAGCGTTCAGGAAATGCTCAATAGCCTTTCGAGCATCTAATCTTTTGAAATGAATACCAATCAATGGGGGAGATAAGACACAGAAAATGAGTTTGAACAGTCCAGGAACCTTAGGCGGCTTTCTGCCTGAAATGGAGACTGGCCCTTTTCTGTCCTGACATATTGCTAGTTGTGCTGCTGATTTACAAAGAACAAAAACAAAAATAAAAATACCACCACCAAAAAAGACCCCACAGCAAAAAGAACACTTCCCATTCTTCTCACTTTTTAAAAAATTTCTTCATCCAGGCACCACATCTTACATGAATTATTTAAAACTCCCAACTCCTGTATTAAGCTTAGTCTTAGCAATCAATTCTAATTTGTGGCTGCAGGTGCCTTTGTTCCACGAGTCCCTGTACAACCTGTGTTGCTCCGATACCCCAACAAGCTGGTAAGCAGAACGTTCTTCTATGACTAACTAGTAATACGGAAGTCAAAATCTTGACTTGAATGGTACCTACACTAAATATTTGGCATTGTCACTGAAGAATCTATTGTCCTCTGCTTTAGCATTGGAGAGCTCCTGGGAGCAGATGGGCTTCCCAGGTGTCTCCATGGTGTAGTTGCTATTCTGATTGTGAAAAACTTACTGCTGGGCTTCTTAGCTATACTTAAAGTATGAGGCAGTGCAGGAAAGTATTGCAGCGGAAGTTAGAAACTTCCTGCAAAGCCGCAGAGCCTGTACTTTGAAGTCTAAAATGCACACAACTTCCCTACTAGTCATCATTTTTTGTTTAAACTCAAAAGACACTGCAAAGAGGCTTGCAAGGTTTCTGAACAAAAGCAAAGCTGAGCCATGCAGTACATCCAGCAGCCCCTCCTTCAGGCACATCAGGAAGGCAGCTCTGCAGATTTTCTTTTCATGCAACCTTCCCTTGTTTTGCCAAGTAAAGGTTCACACTTTCTGCCAAGTATAGGGGTACAGAGGTATGGCTCTGCTTCACTGACAGCTGTAATGCTGGGACAGATGAGAGTCTAGCAACTTATTCACTATTTTTTGTATGATCTGGTCATCCAATAAATCCAGAAAAGTCCAAACTTTTCATTCCTAATGGTTTTTAAGATGAAAAACAAGTGATTGTTATTGTTGTTGTTATTTACAGAGATTCTTTTGTAAAATCCTTTTACAGATCAATTTCGAAACTGAACCACTAAAGGGGATTGGTATCACATTTCACCGATAGGATTTAACAATCTGCAGTATACACTGTAAAAATTATATATAAGAAGTAATAAACATAGAATAAGGGAAAAAAAGAAAAAAGAAAAGAAAAGAAAAAAAAAAAAGAAGAAACATAGAATAAGGGAAAAAAAGAAAAGAAAAAAGAAAAGAAAAAAAAAAAGAAGAAAAAGCATGATAGATTACCTATGTAGAAATTACCTTAAAAACTAAATCAAACATATTTGTGAGGATGCCTTTCTAAAGGTGATGTCCTCTGAAAAAGTCTTACTAGATTATTTTTTTCCTACTTCTGTTGTTTGGACCAGAATGAATGATTTAAAATAAGTAACTATATAAATTTTATTCCCAATTGTTGCTATTATCAAAAGTCTGCCATGGTTATTTCCAAATTTTTAAGGCAAGGAATCCTAGTCTCCTTGACACCTTTATTTTAACTACAGGACTATAAAACCATCATCTGCTTTTACTGAACTTGCACCTGTTTTATATTGCAACGTATCTGCTCTGTATCTCTCATCTGGTTCTGTCATACATTTCTGTGTTTTATTTTTTTACTTAGGATACTGTGACCTGGACATGGCAGGGCTACTCACTGTAAGTTTCTTCATCCTACTGAAAATTACATACAGAATTTTTTCCCCCTGTTGCTGAACAGTCTGCCAAACAGATTCAGCTAAGCCAAGACACATGTTCTTCTAGATCTGTTTTTATGAAGGGGAAATACTTGGGGATAATGCTGTCATGCAGTAAATTTCGTATCTGAATGGCTACAGAAAGGGTTTACAAATGGGGAAGCATTATTTCCTGCTCTGCCACCATTTTGTTTAATTTTCTCCTATGTATATATCTCCTTTGCACATTACACTACAGCAAAAGAAAGATTTGAAATTCTTTTTCTTTGGGAAGCAATCCTAGTCATCAAAATCCACAGATGTTTACAGTTTTCTACAAGGTCTACAAACAAGAAAAAATAAATGTTATTTTATCCCCTCTGTTTATTCATTCCTTCATCTCATTTGAAGTCATATGAGAGTAAATTAAGAATACGAGCAAAACAAGTATTAATTTTCCTCATCTTTCCCCATTCAAACATCTAGGATTTTTCTCTACATTTTTCTTTTTGCCTGACTCAACAAAAGCAATTGGTTTGAGATCACAGTGAAGAGGTTATATATATAATATCTGACATTGAAATAATGAAAAATATTTCAATAAACCAGTTAGGCAATAGATCTGTGTTTATTTCTCAACACAGATGACCTTCTAATGTGCTAAAATATTTTATTGAAGTATTAAAAAACCTTTAGAGCTGTACTGAAAATATGGCTGGAAAGTACTTTTCACCTTATAAACATTCATTAAAATGTGGATTTGCAGAATCCATATACCACATTTTCATGTGGAATATGTAGTGTGTGTCTAAGTACAGTAGTACTGATATACTAAGTGACTAAAATTTTTAAGGCAGCTGATTTTGAAACATCTGAACTAGTGGAGCAGATCATAAGTGCCTTTTAAGCTATCATTAGTTAATCCTAGCACCTGCACACTTAGAGAGTGAACCTTGTGGAAGCTTACCTAGATGAAAATGTCCTCTGTTTCCCAAGATTTTTTTGCTATTATTATTACTTCTGTTACAGTTATTACCATACTGTGAGTAATGAATATTACAAATTCAGTAGCATACTACAGATTTCCCCTATGAAGGATTTCTGTTGGAAGATTGAAAAGGAGCTATGTCTTCAGTTATGAGAGATGGTGTAGGAATATGTGTAGAAAAAATGAAATCAGAGGTATTCCTGTGGAAAGGAGGAGGCTGCCCATTCACTGAGAACTGCTCTAAGCCTGGTGGCTGGATGATGAAGGCTCAGATTGAAACCTGTGAGAACATGAAAGGAACAGCTTGGCAAAATCATGGGAAGAGAAGGGATGGACGGGGTAGAATCTAGAGATTCTTAACAAAAATAACTGGAACCAGGAGAAGGACATCCCCCACGCAAACCTGCAGATCACAAAATGCAGAACTGCCACAGCCTTTGTAAAACTTCCTGGCTATTGCAGCCAGGATGGGACAGTACCAGTCTCCTCCTCAGAAACCTCCTGACCCTGTTTCTGTTGTCACTTACTACTATTTTCTTTCTTTTGTGCCTTACTGGGAGGAAAACCTAATGTTATGTGTTAGAAAATCAAGCATTAAGAGTGGATTCCTGCAGAACGTAGAAAGGATCCCTGACTTGTTCTCCTGCCTTTTCCTTTTCTCATTTTTATTTTGTCCAAAACAAGAACAGAAGAAAGATTGCTTGAAGGTTTTCTGTTATAATTTACCTGATGTAAGTAAAGAACAAATGTGCATTTCTGCATAAAAATCACAGTTAAAAGAACAAGTTAGAAGTGGAAGTGATTACGCTTATCCTCTTTTGCGGTTTCTTCCTCCTGTTGATACTACAATCTGTGACTTTTTCTAAAAGCACTGCAGGTCCCAAACATACCAACACTTCATTAACACTTTTGTGTAAACACAACTATAGTTTGCAAAATGGCTAGCAAGTACTAACAGATCCTTGCTTCAGTTCTGCAGAAAGAAGTTACTGGTCCCATTTTGCAGATTAGAGAATAAAAGATAAGTAAAGCTACTTCTCAGAATCAAAGCTCTTAAAGCTTTAAAATCCAGTATGTGTGCACCTCTTTAAACATAAAGTAATGTATATGGATTTTGCTGGACAAAGTACCGTATAGTATTGTTAATATGCATGACAACAGACAACAAGTTGCCTGCCCAGTGAGGAAGCAGCAGGTATACGCAGAAGCCCTGCAGAAAAAATGTCAAAAGCAACATTTCAGGGAACTTCACTGCAAGGTACTTAAAATCTCACACCCAGTAGTGGCTGTGTTTTTGTCAATGCTTTAAGAAGTTTCACCTACTGATGTGCAAATACTCTGTTTTCAAATATGTAAAATATATCTTTCTTCCTCTTTCTTTCTTGCCTGCAGAAAAGAGCTATGTGTAATGACGCTGTGTCAGCTTTTCACAAGAGTAGAAGTTGAGGTAAGAGTTAGAAATATTTTTGGACTAAGATTCCGCAGCCAGGGAATTTATACTTTAATATAAATGCATTATTCACATTATTAGCCACTGTTACTGGACATTAAACAAATGTCTGAGAAATAAGAACAGAATCATGGTGAGTAATATATTCAGATTTGTTGTCCATATCTATGTATCACTTAATCTGATGAGTTCCTAAAAGAAAGCTGTCAGAAATGCCTTTATTTTTAAAGCATTGTAGAATCATTGCTAATTATCACCACATGCATTTTACAGATGTTAAAACTAAGAACTATAATACGTTCTGTTAAAGTAAAACCTTCTCTCTCTTTCCTACCTTCTTATTTCCCTGCTTCCTTCAAAGTATCCTTTTCTTCCTCATCATCTTTCCAGACTGAACTCTAAAACGTTTCTGCAACTAAGAGCTTACTTAAGGACTCTAGTACTTGCACCTAGGAGAAAGTTGAGCCTTGTATAATGAACCTGTTCCCTTGATCATTAAAATCACCTGCACAGCACAATGACAGATGAATGATGACTGAAACAAGCTTCACACTTCATAATATCAGTACATATACTCTTAACTGCTCCCTGTCAAAGATTCAGTGTTCAAAACACAGTAGTGAGGAGACAGGTAACTGAGGTGCAGCCAGTTTGTTTAAGCGTTGCACTTCACATTCCTTATCAGACCACAAAGGATTGTCAGTATGGACTAAGCTGGTTTAGGGACCTGAGAGATGGGAGAATTCAAAGACAGGTTTTGCTGTTTATTTACAAAACAGAATTCAGCAAAGTTGTGCAAAGCTTTGTAAATACAAGCAGTGTTGCTACTACTAACAATTAGCAATATGTTTTTTGTCGTGAAACAATGAAATTCATTTTAAGGGAGCACCTTGTTACTGTATAGCACATGCAGTAGACACGTATTTATAGAAGGTGTACAAAGAACCAATTCCCCTAATGATTTTGTACAGAAGGACATATCTGATTTATATACGTGGGAGCAAGAAGTCCCATGTATATAACGTAGCCCTTCCAGTAGAAGGTTTATTTTCCCCTGTTTCAGAACAGAACTCAAACTTGTCTGTTAGAAAATAAATCCCATGTTCCAAAAGATGAAACTGAAACATGAAAAAAATATGCAGCTTTCACAGCAGCATGTGTCCCTGAAGTGGAACTAATTGCTCAGCATCAATGCAAAAGTCCTTCCATTTCTAAAAAGAGAAGGGGCAGATTTGCCTGGGGAAGGAGGGAATCGGACTACTACTTTTAGGAATGGATGTTTCTGTTGCTGTCCCATACTGTGAGCAAGTAGCCTCTCCACTCCCATCAGTCTTGCGCTGCCTCCACTTGCTGTGCATGAACAGTGATGCACTCCTGCAGTCCAAGGGAGTACGTACATGCATGTCCAGTCATATCCTAACAAACTGGGGATATTGAGGATTAAACAGTGAGCCTGGCAGTGAGTTTTAGTGCTGCAAAAGATACAGCATTTGGCACATTCTCTTAAGGAGAGACTAGGTCAAAAGCAGATCAGAGAAGTATTTTTGCTACTGAAGGAGCTGTGAGGAATTTTTCTTACAGGACTGCAATTTGGAAGGGAAGGTGTACTTACTAGTCTTCACCAGATAAGCAGCTGGGTGCGTGTGAGACCATGCATGCCACCTAAGGAAGTCCAGAAACCAGATTCATCCCCAGTTGTGGTTTCTGGCAAACTGGTTTTATGAATAATTGTAGGTGGGTTTTTTTTAAGGGGACGGAGGTGGTGTTTAACCTACCAGAAATTTAGGTTGCTGCCTGAGCAAGACCTTAGCCTCAAATGATGTAATGACCACTTTCAAGACCATGACCCATGTTTGCACAGATAAACTTCTGAGAGCTACAAGTTATCTCACCCAGTGATGACACAGTTCTCTGTGACTGTACAGTGTGCCTGTGCTTCCTCAATTCCTGAAGAGTTACGTGACTTCTGAAGGGAAGTTGTAATAAGCAGGGACATGTGTCAGACATGAACGGAGCTGGCAATTGCTAATAGAAGGAATGAAATCTCAAACCTTCATGTGAACAGCTGGACCCCTGCTGTCCTTACAGGAGAGAAAACTTTTAGCTATAAACAAAGACAATTGTTATGGCTATTTGACAGATAACCAATTCCATAAACTTACTGTTTTTAATCATAAAGAGGCAGCATTCCTTAAAAACAAACATAAAGGATGGACTGCATTTATGTGGGACAGTTACCACTGTATTAGTGCATCACCAGCAACAGCAGTATAACTGAAGAAACGTTCACACATAATTAGCAACTGTGTCTTCTATGGGAAGTGAAGTGAACCATGGGCAGCACCTTATACATACTCTAGAATTGCTGTATTCTAGGGTTTAAGGGCAAGATTGCAGGGTGGGGAGTAGCAGAACTGAGATAAATGATAACCAGAACTGAGAAAAGACATGGTAAACAGAACTGCAAGTGAACACTGTAGACTGAAGTAGAAAGAACAAAATACTCCCATACACACACTACGCAAACAAACAGGTGCTGATTAATGCCATGTTAGGTAATAATTAATCTGTAGTACATTTTTAGTGTAATGCTACTTCAGTGTCTTACATGTTAACATTTAATAAATCCTCAACAGTAAATGTGTTGCCATTTAGATATCTGAGGTGTTTTCTAGGTTTGGGAGGAGAGTGGGTTGTTTTGTTGGAGTTTTTTACTCTCTGCTTGGAGTTACAAAGTTTTACAGTATTTGTTTCCAGTTAGTGCTCTACTTACAATTCAGAACTAAGATTCCTTAACGTTTTTATGATGGAGGAAAATCTTACAGGAAACCTATCAGTCACAGGCTGACAGATACAATTAACAGGTATGAGGTGGGAGTGCAGTGTGTGCTTAAAAACATTATAAATCTTTCGTACACTATTCCAGCATATAACATAACATATAACAGATCTTTGAAAAGGACTGTACAGCATTATCAGACTCACATTCTTACCAATGTAACATTTGATTTTCTAAGTATGAATTTATTACACTTTCCTTCTTTGGGGGGTTTGATTTTTCATACTAAAGCAGCTTGCACCGGTCTTTAAGAAGCAGGTTTGGACTAAATCTTACTTGTGTGGCTAGGGCAGAAGAGCCCGAGTGGTTTCTAAGGCGGCTGAGACCTCTAGTGTCCAGTTCCTTCACTGCATGGCTGATTCTTCTCTCCTCTTTTTCCCCCATTCCAAACAATAACAAGAAAATGTCCGTGTTGCTAATAAAGCGGTGACCATTGGATAACTCATCTCTTTCAGTTTCTGCCTGTTCATGTTCCTACTGAGGAAGAAAAGAATGATCCCATTCTTTTTGCCAACAGAGTCCGGCAAACCATGGCAACGTATGTAATCAGCTATGAATAAAATCTTTGAGAACGTTTCTTTTATATCCAGCAATTCTACATATATCCTAGCCGTAAAGTTAATTTTGTCAAGTCCCAGGTACTATATATAGGAATTGCTCTAGATTGTCACCAAGAGGTGTCAAATTCCTATAATAAAACACTCTTGATTGTTTTTACATGGAGCATAAAGAAGATTGTCTTACATTGGAACATAGTACGTTAGTCCGTGGAAAGCTGGAATAAAGTGCTTCCTTATTTCCTTGGCAAGAATAAATGGGTGGTTTGTTCTCCAAGGTTACTGGGCTGCATTTACAAGACTGTAAATCTTAAAACATCGTAACATTGCCATAACATAGTTTCACAGTATGGTTTCACACTTTCACAAAATGGTATATAGTGCTTTATCCTACTTGCAGCAGTGCAAGAATGAATTACTGTTTGTTTTGTATATTAGCATTAAAGCCAAATTGAGACAGAGAAGAGAAACAGTCAACTAAAAGTAATTTTAATATAAGAACTTGATTTTTCTTTTTCCTTGATTTTGTTTCAGTGCTTTGAATGTGCCAGTCACTGATCATACTTTTGAAGATTGCAGACTGATGATTTCAGCAGGAGGGCTGGTGGAGTTCACCAAAATTAGCAAGAAACTCAAGTAAGGGAAATTTAGCTGTTGGTAGTATAATTACTGCAGTGCTGCAGGTGTTGATGGCCATCTACAAAAAGATAAGTTACCTGACAACTGACTTGGCCATGTGTTCTTATGTATACATTTTAAATACATAAACTATATGGAAATCAGGGATGAGGAAAATCCCAGTAAGAACTAATCCCAAGTAATTTTTGTGGGCAGTGTTACAAGAGGAAGAATGCATTTTTCTAATCTTTTATGGATGTATCTCGCCAAAAGGTGGGGAAGGTGGAGCAGTACCTATTTTAGCCACTTGAAGATAATCTCAGCGCACAATTTGAATTGCTTTTGTGGAGAAGCACAGGCAGTGTGTGGTAGAACGTAAAAAAGTCCTTTCCAGCCTGAGACTTCAGCCAGTGGTTTACTGTTCTTAGCTGTACTGTGCAGCCGTGTTTCCCTGGTGGTGTCAACTTTTTCTGTCTGGACACAGTGGAATTTGAGGACTGAACCACTTAATCATACAGTAACTCTATCAAATAAGCCGGTGTGGCTGTGGTCAAATCTTAAGTATGTGCATGGTAAATCTTGATTTATTGTGTATGTGCTATATATCCATTTATAGAACTCTGTCTGAAACAATCTTCAATAGTTTCATGGCAATCCTAATTGTTCTTGCAATGGTGTATTTCTGCAGGGAGATAAGATACTTCTCAGGCTGTAGCAATACTAGCATTTGTAGTTAGAGTTAGCTAATAGAGCTGAGATCTCTTCCCTTCTGTTAAGGAAATATTCACCCTAGAGCATGATGTGAATTTATGGTAATGAGAAGCTTGCTGTTAGACTAGCCTAATTATTGGACAGTGATTCTAGGCTTGGGAAGTTACTCTAAGGAAGTCTGATATACCCAAGCATAGAACTGTCTGCTTTTAATATTAATAACCAGGGGGAGCAGTCCTTAATTGCTGATTTCATATAAAATATCAGGTTGGAAGTACAGCATTTCTAATGCTGTGCATGCATGCTCTGGCTGTTTTTTGTCGTTGAACACTGTAATAATTCCTACTGAAATTCCATCCGTCCAAGATCTGCTGTATAGAAATATCTCCTCTCCCTCATGTTTGCATAGCCTAAAATGGAATCATGTCAGAGAGCAGTTGGATACCTTTGCTGCTATTGCAAGTGCTTCCAAAGGGGGAAGAATTGGAATTGAGGAGTTTGCAGAGTACTTGAAGCTGCCTATTTCAGATGTCCTCAAAGAGCTGTTTCTACTCTTCGACAGGGTGAGTAGTTGGTTAACTGACTGGAAATCTTGTGGACAATGTTTTGTTAAGAATCACATCTCAAAAAGATATTTAATTCATTATGTCCAGCTTAGTAAATTCTTCTTGGTTAGCAATTCCTGTAGGCAATATAGGTGACTCTTACAGTTTCCTCCTTAAGTTTTGATGGAAAAAAAATTGGTCAGTTTGTAGCTTGTAAGAGGACAGCCATCTCTTGGACCAAGTTGCTGTACCACCATCAGATGATAATCTTCATGCTGGTAATGGCTGAATATTTCCTTCTGCCTACCCCAGATTTTGAGCTTATGTACATTCTGACAGCTTAATTAACTGATGTAGTTGTAAGTAGATAATTTAAGGCAGATTGAAGCTGTCTAGATCATGTGTTCCTGCTGTGTTTGTGAACGGTGCTGCTGGACGCTAGAAGGACTTCTCTTGCCTATATCCAGCCATAAAGGAGACTATGTGTTAATGTGGATCATTTAGGCTTTCTTCCATAGTCGGTGGTGATCTCTCCCATTTTCTAATTGTCTCTGAAGATGAGAAAAATTGCACTATGGATGCACCCCTCCGACTATACCAGAAGTGTCAGTGACTAGAGCGTAGCATAGAACCATCTTACTTCTAGGCATCCAGTATGTGCTACAGGGCAAGCAACATATTGTACTGCAAGTACGTATGAACTGGAGTTTGTTTCTTATCTTAGGGGCTCTCCCAACTCAGCATCACTCTTCCTGATCAAGCTAGCTCTAGCAGTACACCTGTCCTTGGGAGGCCATTGTGTTGTACATACTGATTAAAACAGTTTCAGGATTTTTCCAGATAAAAAGGTTTTACAAGCTCTAAAATAAGAGTCAAATATATTTCCTTAATTGCTGAATGCATTGAAACTCTAGCAGAGTTAGGTACTCATCCTTTCTTCATTCTTGCCTCCCCACCTTGTACCACTGGCTCCTGTGAACATGTAGTTCGAGTCCTGAAGCACAGTACATACAATGGAAATACAGTGTGGCAACCAAAATTATTAAAGGCAATCAAGATTTCTTTCACTTTCCCTATTTGGCACAACAGCATCAATGAATAGAATTAGCAATGTAATGCTCAATTCACTAAAAAGATGAAAGTATAAAAGATTGCAAAAACAGACAAGACTCTAGTAAGCTTTTGCTGCATTCATCTTTAAGGAGGTCAGCTTAACCGAGGAACAGTCACAGTAATGTGGCAGAGCTCTTTTCAAATTGCTTCCTTTATAAGCACAGGTATTTTGAGCCTTTTGCTCTGTGGCTTTCAGCCTCATCGTTATTTTTTTTTTCTAAAAAGATTCCTCAAATCACATAAAGCTAACTATGCAGAGAAGACAGATGGAAGTAGAGTCGTATCAACAATTGACAGAACCTACTGAGATCTGAGATAACTCTGGCAGCTGGGGACATGCACAGACATGGTGGAGTCTAAGCACGCCGATAAGCTGTGTTTTGCCCACGCCCAGCTCAGAGACAATAAGGCTTCGGAGAGTTACAGAAGCACAGGATCTCTGAGTAACTCCCTTCAGAAAACCTTTGCAATGTTCCTTGCTAAAGCTTTGCTGAGTGGAGGAAGTGGTAGTGGTCGTGGAGGGAGCCTTGCACGTGGCCTTGGAGATCTCCTAACAGGAGGTGGACCTGGAGGGAACCTTGGAGGACTTGTTGGAGGTCTTGTCAATCTTATAAGTGAAGCAGCAGCTCAGTATAATCCAGAGCCACCTCCACCTCCTCACAATCATTTTACGAATGTGGAAGCTTATGAAAGTGAGGAGATCAGACAGTTTCGTCGCCTTTTTGTCCAGCTGGCTGGAGATGATATGGAAGTGTGCGCCACAGAGCTAAGGGACATCCTGAACAAAGTGCTTTCCAGACATCAAGACTTGAAGACAGATGGCTTCAGCTTAGACACATGCCGTAGCATGGTAGCTGTCATGGACAGTGATACAAATGGCAAACTGGGCTTTGAAGAGTTTAAGTATCTGTGGAACAACATCAAGAAATGGCAGTGCGTATACAAGCAGTATGATACCAACCAGTCAGGCACTGTTGGGAGAGCTCAGCTGCCAGATGCCTTGAAGGCTGCAGGGTTCCATCTTAATGAGCAACTCTGCCAGGTAATCGTACGCAGGTATGCCGATGAGGACGGTGGCATGGATTTCAACAACTTCATTAGCTGTTTGGTACGACTGGACAGTATGTTCCGGGCCTTCAAGTCCCTGGACCAAGATGGAGATGGACAGATCGAAATGACCATTGAAGACTGGCTGCAGCTGACCATGTATTCATGAAGGCACAGCAGAGAAGAGTAAGCTTCATCTGGAAGCTATACATGGAAGAATACAATCCTGTACTATAGAACTGTAGTCTTTTCCTTGTTCTAAGGCAGGTGTAGCTAGTGGTAGATAGCTCAGCTTAAAATGTTGCGATTCCTCTTGTGCTTGCGTTAGTCTGCTTTTCTGATGGGTTTGTGTAAGTTGTCAGTTGGACAGCTGTGTAAGTCTGTCTCAGAAAACTATCTCTAGACTCTGAAGTGAGGGAATGTGTTGAAGGATCAAAGCTTAGTTATTTCTTCACATAAAGCGGCTCGTATATGAGTATAACTATTATATAAAAAGCTCGTAAGTTTGGTGTTGCTTTGTGATGTTACTGTTCCAATTTGTCAGCATTCAGTAAGCTGGAATAAAGCTCTGCTTGCCAGAAGGCAATCGCTAGTACAGAGAGTTATGCAGTCATTTCTAACCAGGGGAAAAACATGAGACTTGCAGTAACTATAATGATCAGTGAATTTACATGATTGTATTTAATTCACTTCCTACTTCTGCTTTTTCATGCTTGTCTGCTGAAGCAAAACCTGAGCGGTATTGTCAGTTCTATCTGCTAGCCAGGACAAAATTGAAGACTTACATAAGGCTACTTTTACAAACTTTTTCTCCTTCCTGCAATTCTATTAACTAGTCTTTTCTCTCTTTCCTTGAAGCCTTATTATAGTTATAATGAAAACAACTTAAAATACTACATTTATATTTAGAGAAGCTTGCTGTAATAACACAGTCACATAGCAGCCAGCCAGCCAAAATCAACCTCTGGCTATCTGAGTTAAATTTTATCAGGGTGCAGCCTCCCACTCAAGCTAGTTGCACAGTTCTAAGATGTCAATTTTTCAGTAAAAGGAAAAGGAATAACATGAACTGTCAAAGGTACATTTCTTTGAATTAAGGATTACATAGTTGATGAAAACAGCTCTTACACTGCAATCTAACAAGGGAGATTTCTCAACAGGGCTCTGCTGCTTTAAAAGAAAATTGTCTAGGGTGTGTGCTAGCTGACTGGAATGTGAAACGATGAGTGGAGTAGCACAGCCTGCGCACTACAGCAGTCTTCAGATCTAAGAGCCCACATGCCCCTGCCCCTCCCCAGGGGAGACATCAGTGACTAATTGAGAAATACCACACAATACCTGTGCGGCATCTGAATACTAATGGAGTGCTGTGGTTTGGTTTTGTTTCTAAATTTCCATAGCTTTGATTCCTAAATCTTGCAGTTTTACTTGGCAAGTAGTATTTTCCAAACTGATGAAATCTCCTCACTGGTATACTTGCAGAAGTCTTTTACTTGTAACTTTGGGAAAAGTAACTTACAATTTTTGCCAAGACTTTTTTCCTCCTGCACTTTGTTTAATATTGAACTGGGTGACAGAAACAGCAACAATATTCATATTGGTTCAAATTGTGATGGAAGAGGTCAATTCCTTCCCAATGGCACTCACCCACCTCCCAGTTATTCAATGGAAAAGCACAAAGTTATCCACAGCGGCATTTGGGCTCTGAGTAATAGAAAACTGAGAACGAGGGAAAGTGTGATACCTCTAGGTGAGCACCATCCTACCAGGTTTGTTTCAGAACTTCCCTTTCTGACTAGTTAAAACTTGCATGTAGCAACAAGCAGTGGAGATTTTGGAGTTGGATGACGAGCCTGGATATGAACACAAGAGGTGCATCTGTAGTTCCTCCCCAAATGGTCCAGTTGTAGCTTCTCTGTGGTAGCCCTGTCACTCAGGGTTTACTTAGCTAATCAGAACAGAAATGACAAGCGCACATGTACACACACGCTTGATTTTTCGTGTTGCCTTACATAGTGAGAAAAAAGTTTTGGGGCAGTAGTACTTTAAGCTGTCTTGCAGAGAGCTTTGCCAACTACCTAAAGCTAACTGATTGTCTAGGCCTAATCTCCTCATGCAACTCTAAATGGAAACTGTTCATGATGATGCAAACTTTCTTGTTCCCCAAAGTGTAAGATTTACCGTATTATATATAAAAAAAACCCAACAACAACAAAACCCTAGTTACCATGGCATGCTATAGTGAAAATAGCAGCAGAAAACTAGTTACCTTGAAGAAAACAAGGGTTGTTGAGGTTACACTATGTTTTGGTTATTTTGTGTAACATAAATACAAATACTTAAATATTGATGTTCTACTTTGCTATTTGGAGAATTGGAGCTCAGCTCACGTGTTGCTTTCTTACGCTATTCTTGCATGCATAGGCTGCAAACACAGCTAGACATGCACAGAAAGGCTACTGCAAGTACTTGTTTGCAGTGGTGCTACACAAACACTGAAGGTTTTCCTGCCTTTTCAATTTAACTCCCATCTCCTTTTCCAGGCAACAACCCTATCATTTCTCCTTAACCAAAATGCCCGAGTGCTTGGAAGTTAGCCAGCATCCTAGAGTTTAGCAGAGTTAGTCACAACATGATCTTGCAAGCATAGTAAGTTTGTTTCCTACTCAGATGGTTGGAGTTCTGTGTATCAGATTGCACTCAGTTTTGATTACTGGGTTTTAACACATTAAAGTAATATGACCTTTATTAGCTCTTGTCATTTTTCCATGTGCAACCAAAGCTATGTTAACTGATTTCAGAAGTTGTTTTTATGGTGGTATTTTATTTAAAGTTTATTTCCCAATTCTTTTCCTGTGATACTTATTCTTAACTTCAAAAATAAATTTAAAAAAATATTCTAACAGCATCAAACAATCCTTTGCTATAAAACTGTCCAAAAATAATATTCCGTGGAACTTTGAACAATTATTATTTACACTCTTGCTTCAGTTGTTTTAAGAGTTTAGGTTTATAATGATACATTTTAAAGTTAGATCTATTATTGTTATGAGAACTACGATGTAGCCAAAATATTTAAAGTCAATCTCTGCAGCACAATGAGAGCACAGGTTTGTAAATAAAATAGCATTTATGCAAGAACATTGTTCTTTTCTAATGATTAAAAGCTGACAAAAGTTATATCCTTTAGACACACACAAAAGTAACTTAAAGACTATTCATGTTTTTGCTCAAATGTTTCCTTAAAATTCACAGGCCTTTAAAGTACAAAATGTTCAAAGGTTGCATGTCTTCAAAAAAGATTGGTTAGACCATCAATATAAAGAAAATAAAAGTTGTCTGCGGAAAACAGTCCTGAATTGGTTTTGAAAGTTAAATAAAATTGTATCTTAGCAGTTTTAAATCCTGACAAACATATAGCTTGATAAAGAAAAATTAGTACTGAATCCATTACTGCATATTCTTTGTTAATCAAAGACTATCCTAAGACCTAAATTCAATAACAGAAATCCCTATTTCAGAGAACCCAAGATTTTCAGAGCTCTACAGAGCAGCCTAGCATGTCTCCACTGGCAAGCTCCATATTACACTATTCAGCATCAGAAAACCAAGAACAGAAAGGTCAAGGTTAAGGCTGGTATGCTCAAGTGGGCATTAGAAGTTGGTAGGAGAGCCAGAAATAGACTCTAGATCTGGCTGTTCACTACAGATTTACCCAGGAGACCACCCCTCTCTCGCTTGGCTGAAAATGTTTTGTGCCGTTCTCAGACTTACGGAGTCCACGTTTTAAAAAATATTTTTCTTCTTGAGATGTGCAACACATTATCCACTAAAGGAACTCCACTTTACACTTTTGTTTGCTTTTAAAATGTTTTTGATGGAAAAAAATATGGCTTATATATGGCTTCTTCCCCACACTGGATGTTTCCCAAAACCCTCAAACTTTCAGTGTGGTCACAGAAACACTACTGACTTAAGCATACATTTCAACAGGCATCTGTGATTTTCTCTATCTGCAAATATAATGCAGCTTACATAGAATTAATCACGAATCCCATCAAAGAGAGCTTCAAATGTTTTGTTGATGTAGCTTTGTAGTTAACACATTGAAATGTTAGTTCAAATCAAAACTGGAATTATCAGTGGAAACACAATGAATTCATTGTGTTTCTGGCTATAAAAGGTAGGACAGTGTATTTGCTTCAAAATAGCACGTAGGGCAATGCATTTGCTTCAAAGAAAGGCCTAAGATAGACCATGTAGAGTTACTGCATCATCAGGCTGTACTTTCACTGGCAAGTATTTTATTGCTGAAGGTTCTGAGGAATAATTAACTCAAGGCAGCAGCCTCACTGTTGGCTTTTTATTCTGGGATGTTGCATTCGTCTCTGAACTTCAGCAAGTGCCAGTGCTACATGAACTGTTACATTTACCTTAAACACATGTATTCCAGTTCTTGTTAAAGGCTTCTCGGAGGTCATACACTAAAGAAAAACTTGTAAGTTGTTTTAAATCTCTTTTGTGTGGGTGTTTATGAGACAGAAATTGATACCCAATTTCTAACTATTGAAAATATGTATATTGCTACTTCAACCCTAGTATTACGTATAGTTAGTAAGCTGTTTTTTCCAGGAAGAACAAATACCTGTAGTGTTGTAAACTGTCTTAGTGCATGTTGTACAGTTGATTTATACAGCAGCTTTTAAAGTTATTTGCTACATTAACTATCACTACTGCCATATGTATTTTGGTTACAGAATGGAGACGGCACCATTGACTTCAGAGAATATGTAATTGGTTTGTCTATTCTTTGTAACCCAGCCAACACAGAAGAGACTATTCGGATGGCATTTAAGGTAAGTTCAATTTAGTGTAAGTCTACAAACCTGACAAATCAAGACTGACTGTAAATCTGTTTGCTTTCAAATCATAAGTTTATAGCTTCAATCTGTTATGCAAATGTGAGTAATATGCTTAAACCAATTGACATTTAGAGTGTGAAGGGAAAGGGGAGAATTGCAGTATCAGCTTCATAGAGAAGGGTTTCAAAAACCGTGTGAAGGCACTAATGAATATATAACTTGGCAGGCTAAGTCCAAAAATGATTCAGCAGCACTCGCAGTTTTTTTGCCTGAGGTTTTTTTTGCTGTGATTCTTCAATGTCACAAGTAGACAATAGATGGAGCAATATCCTTTTTTTGTGGGTCAAGCACTTAGTAGAGTCACTGCTGTTAACGAAGAGGAGGGGGGAAAAAATCAAGAAGGGCTATTCAGGACTGGCACATCCAAAATTGGGCTGCATCTGAGATCATCTGTTGGCTTGTACTGTAGTGTCCTGATAGTACAAGCAGTTAAAGAGCAGTAGCTCCTTTTGGATCTCAGGTAGAAGCAAGCAGTATGTGACCAAGGATGCCCAGGTTGTGAATCCCTGAACAGGAAAATGCTCGAGTGACTTTTTTTTAAGTAGATCTTTGACACAGATTCAGTTATTTTAGTTATTTTAACCGCTAATCTGTTGTTATGAACCATACTGAAAAATATATTGAGATATGGATCGTGTTCATCTTAAACTGGATACTTTTTAGTACTGATGCATACTTGGGAAGTACCAGAATTCTTACAGCAATCCATTATATCCATTCACTGCTTTACAGATAAGCGCTACAGCTGTTCGAAGTGATTTGTGCTTTTTCAGGGATGTTTTATCACTACAGATTCCTATGAAGAAGCAAGCCTTAGCAGCTATTGTTGCTGTTTCATTGTTTTGTTTTCTAGTCTATACTCTTTGGTATTTTAACAGTTGCGCTGATTATAAAATTAGTAATTTGTTCTAATTCCCAGTTTCAGCGGAAGGTGACTGGTTCAGCTGGTAAAAGTCTGTGTCAGTCTGAAATGGAACTATGGGATTCCTTTTGCTATTCGTTTTCTCTGCCACGAAATGTGCTTTCCTTTGCAATGGGAAAGTTTGCCTGTAGCAAGTGTTTGAGAATTACAGCCCCTCTCAAGGGGCTGATTCATAGCAGATGTGTACTGTCACTGTGCTGGGAAGGATGGGATGATCAGTGTACATCTACTGCCTGCATTCCAGTCACCAAAATTCCTTGTTAATTACAATAATTCCTTGGTGGGTGACATATCACATTTACTAAAATCAAGGTATTTTATGTCAGAGCATAAACTATGGCAAATTTAATCTGATGGCAGATGGGCCATAACTTAATGAAAATGAAGACTAAAACCTAAGATGTTCCAGTATACAGTGTCTGAATCCAGTACACCCTTAGCACAGTTTATGGTGACAATTAACGTAAACCCTTGTTTATGTTTTGTTTTTCTTAGTTTTGTATGAGCTTTGTTACTGAACTAATGCCGTAAGGTTTGTTTGTTGCTGCAGATTCGCTACATACTTTTCCTATTAGAGAATACTCTAATCCCAACTATAGCAGGTACATTGCTTTGCTAAGCGTCTGCTTAGTCTTATTCCAGAGAAATACATAAAATCTTTTGCAAGAGAAAGTAGCTGAGATGCAGCCAGTCTCTTCAAATCCCAGGCACTGTTTGCAGATCACCTCTTGAATCCTAAAAACCTAATACAGGTGGCTGACGTGCCTGGAAGGTTCAGAGGCAAACTGATGCTAAAGTATTTCTACACATAATATCTTTTTCAGCTCTTTGACATGGATGAGGATGGCACTATAACGGAAGATGAGTTTGCTTCTATCATTCAGTCAGCTCTAGGGTTGCCTGAGCTTGACGTTTCTATGCTCTTTAAAGAAATAGATGCAGATGAAACCAGGAAGCTGTCCTATGGTAAGTTATGTCCTTTCATAACGAAGAGCAGCACTCTGATAGTCATATTGACAGTGTGAGTTTCCTACCTTTTTTCTCTCTGAAATTATCTGATGGTTCTCATACCCCAAGATGCTGCAGAGGAAAGTAACTGGAGATCAACTTCAGTAAAAGGAGCAGGCAATGAAATTTTCTTTGATCCTGTTACTGCACTATAGTATCTGTATTTTTTATATTTTTCAGATGAGTTCAAGGACTTTGCACTCAAGCATCCAGAATATGCCAAGTTATTTACTACATACCTAGACCTACAGAGATACCAGTTAGATTTGTTGGAGGAGGATGACACTGAGTCACCTGAAGTCAAACACAGTCCAGTTAGAAAGAGTACAATCCCAGTCTCAGAAACAACACCAATCGCAAGAAATAAAGTCTGTCCTAAAGGAAACGAAGAGGATAACTCAAGTACCTCTGACAAAAAGGATGACTGAGAAGAGTTAAAGAATTCAGCTTTTGAATTCTACAGGATTTTTTTCCCTAGCTGTTCGTAAGCACAATTGATAGAAAATAGAAAAACATTTAAAAATGTTTCTTTTTTTACTTTCATATCAGGAGGAGTTATTCCTGTTTGAGTGTAAGGGAAAAAACACTGTAACTATTCTGTCCTTGATGTCAGCATCACAGTACTGGGAGCATTGTTCACTATCCTCCAAGTTCATGCTTCCACAAAAGTAACAGATGTGCTAAGAGGGGTAAGAGGCTCCAGCATCGCAGTGACCTCTCAAAAAGGGGACTGAGGAGCCCACTTGTGCAAACACAAGTGGAATTTTTCATGCTGCTCAATTCCTCTACCTCCCCAACATGTCTTAAGGGAAAAAAATGATGCCAGAGTGTTTTAATTTGCAATATCCCTTAGCCTTTCTCAAGTTTTTGAGGGACACAAATGAGTTACAAGAAGCTGAGAGTTGAAGGTGGTATTTTCCTTCAGCTGTCCTTAGATTTCCCTTAACTGCCTGTGAACTATAAAGCTTTAGCATCTGAACAAGACATGCTGATTCACTGATGTTAACAGAAGCAGCTTTGGGCTTAAACGCTGGTTAAAGATGGAAATGGCTGCACTTCTAAAAACAAAAAACTAATTGGAATTCCAAGATAGCACCTCACAGTCTACAGGAAAATGCAGATAATAAGACCCAAGAATTAACGGACTATTTCAAAATAAATAGAACGTTGTTTACGGTAACAACTGTTCAGGATCACATTAAGAGGAACATTTCAAACTTCACCATATTTTTATGCTAGTAATTATCAACAGAGGAATGTGACCTTGCTCTGCAAAACTTAAAAGGCAAATATGCTGTCAAGCCATAGTTCTAGTAGTTAGTAGCTACTCTAAAGTTGTCTCCTAGAAACTATGTTTGCATTACTGTGCCATTACTCAATATGTTCTTAGAGTTTGATTCAAAATCAAGCTCTTTCTAGTCAATGATTTGAGTATGTTTTGCCTCAGTCCCCTCTAGTGCACTGGAAATTGGGCCTTTACCTTTTTCCGTCCTTCATCTGAATGCACTTTACATACTATTTAAAATATATAGGCATTTATGGAAGTAACTTCTAAATTAAAAACTTGTAAGGGGTGGAATGACAGGTTATTTTCAAATTAAAAGTGATATGAACAAAGTCTAGAATGTCTAGTACCAAAAATAACCAAGTTTCAGCAGGTTTCTTATGTGAAATGGTAACCTCTGCCTCTTAAGTTATTGCTTGCGTTGTCTGGCCGCAAGTTCATTGCCATGTTTAATCTTTCTGTGTTTATAATTGTGCCTATCCTGATGTTTCACGTGCTTAAAATAAATCTATATTTTTAAAAGACTTTTCTTGAACAGCTAAGTCTTTTTAGTACAGTGGGAAAGGTACTCTGTCTACCTTAAGGGGCTGGGGGTATTTCCAGGAAACCATCCTTCCGATGTCTTACCTTGATAAACACAATGCAACCTGAAGTTGGCATTTTTAGTTCTGAGTGCGATGGCACTTTTCTGTATGGTGAGGGTAGAAAAGTAGGACAGGACTGATGCTCTTCCAAAGAGTTATGTCTGCTGACTATCTCAGCAAGACGGAATATGATACAAAGAAGATTTGCAGGTACATGGAGAGATACCACCCTTTTCTGACAGAAAATAAAGCATTGTCATTTACAGGTAAAATGAGTGACCTCAACAATGGTTGAGAAGTAACAACGATGGCTTTGTGTAATATGAACTGTAGCAGAGGATTTTCTTTCCCTTTAGAGAAGGAGAAGCAGGAGTTACCCTGACCTGGCTGTACAGTTAGCTGGAATACATCCTTCCTTGGCAAGGATGCTTTTGCCTAGCATGTTAACCGAAGTCCTCAGCTTTTCAACCAGCAGTAACCTTTTCAAAGACAACTTCTATTCCAACCAGTAAGAAAAAAATAGGTGGGCAAAGATGACAAAGACAACCACTTTAAGGTCTTGGAATGCCAAGAGTTCCTTACGCATGCTCCTGTTGAATCCAGCCACATTCAACAACTGGAGCACTAGTGATTTTACAAAAAGCTGCAAGTCACACAAGCACTTTGCAGTTAAAGCTGAAAATATTGTGTATATGAATCTACGTATCCCCATAGTTTAAGGAGGAAAGGCCACAAATGGGTTTGGTATGTAGCAGTGATTCAACTATGCTCTGAAAAGAAATCAGCTAAACGTTGGAGACACTAACTCAATATACACACATCTGCTTGATGTGCGGGAAGGGAATACATTAATTTTTAGGCATCATTGTGCCTCAGGGAGCTTTTAAAAGGACCAAACTAAAAGCAGTCTGCAATAAACGGGCATTACATTAAGTGGCAGAGCAGGAACTAAACAGACGGAGAAGGTTAAAAATACCAAACAGAAAATGGTTCTCAATCAGGCATTGAGGGATGACACATTTCTACCTGAGACTTCCTGAGGTATGAGTTCTTAATTCTATGGGGTGCTTTTGATTCAAGGATGATTTTGAGTCCTGCACAGTCAAGCTAGAAAGGTATATTTGGTCCCGTGTCACCACAGGAAACACCATTTATTTAATCAGCACTCCTCTGTTATGCTGTAACACGGATTTTACAATAAATCCTTCACAGATACCAAAATAAGACACTAAAGTATATAGAAACTCTAGCAATCTTAACTGAACAAAGGTGAGAATCAGGCGAGGACAAGTCTATTCCAAGAGGAAAACACAACTAATTATCAAGAACAGGGGCCCATGGGGTTCTGTTTTTCATGTTTTCTTTGATAGTTTCGTACATACACTATGAATAAATCTCATTTATGTTTTTAAAAAGCTAGGCTCCCGTTTCTGAACACATGAAAGGCAATGGTGGGTCACCTGGAAAAGTGAACCTTCCTTGTTCACCCTGGAACAGAGGAGATACTAAGCCTGTAAATCCTGATCAATTTGTTTAAGGAAGGTGAATCAACAGGGTCTCCACTGGACACACCAGGGGTTGATTTCTGTGGGAAAGATCTTCTGATCCAAGAAAATTAAAACTGTATTTGTACTTCCTTTGCTGTATCAGTGGCACTGCCTAAATAAATGCAGAAATAGAAAAAAACACATCCGGGTTTCATGTCAGATCATACTGCTACAAGATCTGGTCCTAAACTGCCAAAATCACATAGTTCCTGGCCGCTTGCTGTCCATCAGTAGAACTATGAGGAGCAGTAACACTTCTGGAAAGCATCTGAAAATGGATCTCCTATTTTCACAGCCAATAGCCACGCAGCATCCGTCAGAGGTACCAAGCCAGGCAGCGGCTGCTGCCTCTGAGCTTTTCCACTCATCTACAACAGAACAAGTCAGGTGCCAAATCGTATTCCCACAAAGTTCCTGTGGGTGTTACCTCCTCTCCCTTATCAGCTTGCTCCATAACATGGGGGCAGGGAAAATGCAGTGATTCCCAAATGGTTTGCAAGGGAAATTTTGGAAGATGGCTGTGTGCTCTGCCTGTTCAACCACTAATGACTGTTCATCGGACTGCTGCACAGGGTAACGGCTGCTTGGCCACATCTGTCATCTGCCTAGCAATTCCCATCTCAAACAAAGTGTTTCCTGGGTATCAGAAATCTGAGAAACACTTGTTGAGATCTATTTTTTTCCTATGGTGGTCAGTGCACCAGGGCCCTATTCCTGGGTAATTCCTCAGGCACTATGCCAGTGCAAATAAATACACCGTTCTGCCTAAGCAGGCTTCTAGTGGTGTTTGCGTAGGTGCCAAGGGCTATTCAGAATGCAGGATGTAGAAAATCAGGGCCTGAAGCTTAGAAACTAAGTGTAAAAAATGTCATTACATACACAAACACACTCACACTCTTTGGACAGTCTGCCTGTGAACTGTTTGACCACAGCCTTCAACAAAGCAAGCAGCCTGAGATTTCATGCTGAGAATTACATAGCTCTCACTTAGAGAATGCCACAGGAAAAATTTTGGGATCCATTTTTAAGAAAGGGTTGGGAGATTTGTAGTTACACTCTGCATGATCTGCTAGGAAGGTTGGACTCTGGTCAGTGGTCTTTGGCTCACATTTTTCCAGTTGTTTTTGAATCCCTTGGAACAGCGTACCTTTCTCTTTACTTTCTCCCGACACATTTCTGCCTAAAACACAGCCACTACCATCAAAAGCTGTATTCCACAATGATTAAAGCTAAGAAATTGTAAGAGGAAATTACTGAACTGGGTGGGATTCAGGGGGCACATGCAGTATTCAGGTAGCAACTTTTACTGGCCTGCAGAGAGAGCAAACTTGTCAAAGGTTGCAAGGGATTTTAATGACATTTAATTAATTAATTTTAAATCTTTACTCAATGAAATAACATTTATTAGACTGACTAGCAGTAGGGAGACGTTTGTCAGCAGTGCTTAAGTTGGCAGACTCTCTGTTACTATACATAGCCAGAGAGGCAGAAAGTAAACATCTTATAGGATTAGCAGCTATGTTCATAGCTGAGATGAAATTTGGACATTTCATTAGTATAAGATTGATTCTGACATTTCATAAAGCCAAAATGCAAACAAAAAAATGTGTCTGATATAAATACAGTATGCAGCACTTACTCAGATAAAGTTCAAGCAGCGCAGCAAGGTTTAGTGCCATGACAAAGGAAATACAGAAGGGTCATTTAAGGACCCAACTTCTGTTAAGCACTGAAGTGTATGCTTGATCCTGTGGGCCTCAATCCGGTACTTTGTACTTACTGAAAGCACATAACAATACTAATAATTAGAAAACATGAAAAATTTCCTTAACTAGTTACTGTTAATGATGGTAAGAACTATACCACCCTCACCAAGGAAAGTAATAACACAATTGATTAAATGTTATGAAATTTTTCATCTATTGTGCCATCCTCTTAGTTTAAGAGATCTGTAACAACCACAGCTTGACTGGTGAGTCTTTAAAGACAGATGACAATGTCATAATGGGAAA